AAAAAAAAAAAAAAAAAAAAAACCTCTCGCGATATTTTAGGTGAACAGTGTCTTTTTAAAATTTTTATTTTATATCTTGTTTGTTTGTTTATACTTTTAAGTTAGTTAACATACATACACTGTATGTATACATACACTGTATGTCTTGGCTTCAGGAGTAGAACCCAGTGATTTGTCACTTACATGTAACACCCAATGCTCATCCCAACATGTGCCCTCCTTAATGCCAATCACCCATTTACCTTGCCCCCATCAACCCTCAGTTTGTTCTCTGTATTTAAGAGTCTTATGGTTTGCCTCCCTCTCTGTTTTTATCTTATTTTTCCTTCCCTTCCCCTATGATCATCTGCTAAGTTTCTCATATTCCACGTGTGAGTGAAATCATCTGTCTTTCTATGACCGACTTACTTTGCTTAGCATAATACCCTCCAGTTACATCCACATTGTTGCAAATGGCAAGATTTCATTCTTTTCAGAGAGAGAAAAGGAGAGAGAGAGAGAGAACTGGGGAGGGGCAGAGAGAGAGAGGCAGAGAGAGAGAATCCCAAGTAGGCCCCTCACTGTCAGCACTGAACCCGATTCAAGACTCAGTCTCACGAATTATGAGAATGTGACCCAAGCCGAAATCAAGAGTCAGATGCTTCACTGACTAAGCCACCAGGCGCCTCTAGCCAAACAGAGTCTTATTCCTCCCCCACCCGGAACAGAGTTTTATTGTAACTATTTTGTGCATCATCAGGATTTACAAACTTGTGCCTTTATTTCCAGTCTCATCAAGGCTCCAGACCCCATTTATCAATGAGATACCAGTCATCCAGTCAAAATCATATCCTCTTGTATTCCATACTTCAGCAAATGTCTCTAATGAGGTGCCATATACATCATTTGTCCATTTGCCCTGTTTGGAAATTACAGATTCATCCAGAATATACCTTCCCTCATAATTTTCATTTAGTTTTTAAATCCTATGTATATATTTTATTTCTTAAACCTCTTCTTTTTGCCACCTCCTTTCTGTCCCCACTAGGACAGCTTTAATTCAGATCCTCATCACCTTTAATCTAGATTATTCTTCAGTCTTTCTCACTGGCCTCTGTGTTCATTATTGTCCTCCCGATTTATCCTCCACATAATGGACATACCACATTTCTCTGCCTAAAACCTGTTAATGGTACTCCAGTGCCTACAGGATAAAATCTGGATGACTCCGTTTGTCCCCCTGCCCGGCCTCATGTACACCATATCTCTTGTGTACTTTACGCTCTAGTAGTACTGCACTACCTATGGTTTTACTCACTCCCACACTCATACTTTTTTACCCCTTATGCTTTTGCTTGTTATGTTCCATCTTTCTGAAATGCTGTTCTTCCATAATCTCATTAGAAGTATTTCTTTTTTCAAAAAAAAACAAGGAATTATTTCTTTTTTCATCTTGAAGGGCCCTACAGAGCCCATGGCTTCTCTATAAAACTTTCCACGAGATCATCTCCCACCTACTCTGATAAACTTAATCATTTATTCCTTTGTGCTATTTCTGAAACTTGCACCCCTTTTATTATGTATAACGCATTATTATAAACATAATTTGTTTTCATGTCTGTATCTCCTCTGTTAGGTTGAAAACAAAGATCTTGTTTTCATCTTCATGAATTAGGGAATTTTCATCACAATTACTCCAGCTCCTGGCACACAATAAGTGCTCAATAAATATTAGTCAAGCTGAATTATTGGTTAAAAGAAAGTTGATGATTGGACAGCAGGTATATTTGGACAGTCTGGGTTATGCTATAGTAACAAAAATGCCTGCTATCTCAGCAGGTGGGTACAGACATTTTATTTCTCACCCAGAAGTCCCTACTGGGTCTAGTAGTCCTAGATCCAGGCTGTTTGCATTTGTGTTTACACATTCTTGACATGTAGTATTCCCTATTACCATGGGAAAGAGAGTCACACAGTCAGCTCATAAATGCTTTGGACCTGAAGCAACACCTGTCACTTCCACTCTCAACCCAGTGGCCAAAACTAGTGATATGTCTCTGCCTGTTTGTGTGGGGGCTGTGTGAGCACATGGGGAGCATAGGGATATTGTGTGAGTAGTAATCATATTGCCTTACTAAATATAAAAGGTCCTTTTGTAAATACAGCATTTTGAAAAGACTAAATCAAAGGCACTGTTTACATCTTCGGGGCACTTAACGATCTAGTTGAGAAGAGAGAGAGAGAAAAGACTTACAATTTGAGAATTGTCCCTATCAAGAAATACAACTGTAATACTCATCTTATGGCTTTGTTTTAGTTGTAGATAATGAGTTTGTTCAGACTGTGCATCTTAAGAATTGTTCTAGAGTAAAAAACTAAAACTGAGGTGCTGAGAGGATGTAAAACAAGTGGAAGGAAGAGATTGCATATGAATTTTGAGGGACAAGATTTATTTGGTATTGAATTTTAGAATTCTGGATGAGTAGGCAGTGTTTTCCTATTTCAACTTTTAACTGACTAACGAAAATGCTTTTGTAGTAATTGGTTTATAAAAAAAGTATTGTTCTATATCACTTCAGTGATACATTTTCAATATTATATTTTCAAGTCTCTCTTCTTTCTCAACAGGGACATTTTTGAAGAAGATAATTATAGCCCCATCCCTATTGTTAATGAAGAAGAATATAAAGTAGTCATCAGTAAATTTCCCTTTCAAGATCCAGACCTTGAAAAGGTATAAGCTAGTTTTTAATTTAGGAATTCTCTGAAACAAATTCATGAATAGCTATTGCTATATAATATTAACCTGACATTGGGAGAGTGGCTTCTTTTCAGGCTTTTGTTGTTATTGTGTTATCTGAGAAACTCAGTTATGTTCTGTTGACTGTTAAAGATTATGTTACTACTTCTATTCTACTACTACTACTACTACTACTACTGTTTTTGTGAAGTTAAGAAGGGATTTTCCTGGGGATACTAGGAGCAGTTGTCCCAAATGTTAGGTGAATTCCCAGGACAGGTATTAGTAACGTTATATATATTCCAAATTAGATAAAGTAAATGTCAAGTAGATTATAGGAATAAGAATATTCTAGGGAAAGAGAGGAGAATTGATCTGAAATGTTCATCATTGTGGAAAATCTTGTTTTATGTTTTCTTTTCTAGAAATACACTTCTGCAAAAAGTTTATCTTGGTTAAATAGGGTTGTATGAAGGCAGTTGCCACCTGTAGATTTTTTTCCTGAAATGGGAATATGTATTTTTAGAGTCGAGATATGTTAACAAAAGACAGGATAGAGAAAGGAAAGAGACCAGCACATAGAGTATTGTGGGAATACACATGATTGCATATGTGTGATCATCCATACACATCAGCACACACTTGAACCTATCTAGTATCTCTGGGTAGAATCTGATCTCCCAGGAAAACAGCATCATCTTTCCTGTTATTGTCACTTTTATTCTTGTTTTTTTTCTCTTTACTTTTCTTTGTTATTTTCTAACTCTTTATAATTTAGTCGTTTTCTGTGTTTTTATTTCTTCACAGTGAACAAGAGTGAATTCTCAGTGAATGTGTGAACTATGACTAAATTTTTGTTATTTTTTATGTATGTATAAACTAGACATGTTATGTATAATAGTCACTAAATATAGGACCAAGTAATTAAATGCATAGCTTTTAGATTATAGCCAAGACTGCCACTGTATATACATAATAGTTGTATTTTAATGAACACAAAAGACCAGAATATTCTGCATGTTGTGGCTTGGTTTTATTTTGTTTTAGTTACTGGTAATAAGTTTGTTCAGGGTGTAGCATCTATATAAAGAACATTGGATTTGGTCCAGGTTCACATGCCAGGTCTGCCTATAGCTTGTGGGCAGATGTCTTACCTTATTTAGGCATTTGTGCCACATCTGTCAAATGAGAATGTCGAACTAAATAATCTCTAATGTCCTTTCTAATTACACTAAGTCATTCTAAATAGGTTTATAGTTAAAAGGAAGTTTGACTTTGCTTGTAGGGTGCTTCCAAAATATGCAGTATCTCTTAGGATTAAGCTCATTACGAGTTATATTCATTGCTTCATGTGTTACTTATTGAAGAGAAGAACTAATGTTAAAATAAAAACCACTTGGAAGATTTAAATCTGCAAACTGAAAAAACTCATAAAATTATTTAGTAACATTCTCTTGGTTGTGTGTTTATATATTCAATTTTTTCCTAATTTGAGTATAATTTTCATTTAAAACTATTAGAAAAGATGTAAAACTGCCTCTCAAATAACTTGAATTGTGTTTTTAGTATATTATAGGTGAGCAATAAGTAAGACTGAACATATATGCAAAGATCTGTCTTTTTGCAGATAACTATGCTAATTTGATAAGAACTCTTTGGCTAAAAGAAGAACTTATTTATATTCTGTCTTTAATGTCATTAAAATGGTTCTTAAAGCTGAAATGCCTTTTAAATAGTATTGGGTTCATTATTCTGTAAAGCATAATTTGGAGGTGAATTAGCACTTACATTATCATCAGGTGATTTTAAAGAATACCAACTTTTTGGTTGGTTTTTGTAGTACTCCTGATTGAGTCTCTAAATTTGGAAAGATTGAACCTACCAGTTTTGGAGAGACACTGCTGTATATGACTGTTTCACCAGCAGCCAGTTGTAAGTTTCCTTCTGCTAGAGGTACCTAAGAATACTTCGTTCATTCAGATGTTGATCATTCATCTACTAGACATTGTGCTATTTGGTAGTTTTTCAGTCTCTGTTGTCAAAGAGCTTATAGTCAAGTGAGGGATAAACATGAAATTACAATTCACAGAATTTGGCACTCCTTAAGATAGAGGAAGCAGCATGCAGAAAGGCTCTAGTTCTGTAGTATAAAATGCAAGGTTGATAAAAGTACAAGAGATGAAGATCAAGAAATGAAGATGAAGAAGTGGAAAGGACCAGACTATTCTAGAGCTTATAAACAGTGGTAGAGAGTTCAGCCTTTATCTTGAGGGCTATTGAGAAGTCACAACAAGGTTTTAACCACTAAAAACATAATCTGATTTGTGCTTTAGAAAGATGTCTTTGGCCAATGTGTGGCAAATGGATTAGATAAGAGTAAGACTAGTGGCTGGGAGGCCAGCTAGGGAATTGTTGCTGTTATCTTGGTAAGAGAGATTGGTGACCTGAGTGGGAGTTATGGCCATGGAATTTGATTTAAGATATGTTTAGGAGTGGGGACCAACAGAAGTTGGTAATTATTTGCATATGAGGGATGATGAAGATAGAGGGGTCAGGTATGATAGCCAAGTTTCTGCCTTAAAGAGTAGTAGCATTTACTAAGATAGGAAATACCAGAGGAGCAGATTTAGAAGGAAAGGATGGTAATTGCACTATTGGATCTACTGAATATGTCCCAAATGTCACAGCCTAATGGAAGTGTCCAAGTGGCAGTTAGATATATGGATTTGGACTTCAGGAGAATTAGCCTCGAGTAACAGATTTGGGAGATATTGGTGCTTGCATGGTGATTGAAGTCATGATATTAGGCAACATCATCCAAGGACAGTATGTGTAGTAAGAAGAGAAGACGTGTGGTGCAGGGCACATGGGTGGCTCAGTTGGTTAAGTGTCTGACTTTTGATTTCAGCTTAGGTCATGATCTCACAGGTCTTGAGTTAGCTCCACATTGGGCTCTGTGCTGACAGTGTGGAGCCTGCTTGAGATTCTCTTCCTCTCCCTCTCTGCTCTTCCTGTGTGCGCTCTCTCTCAAACCAA